ATTCCTGCTTCAGCTAAACTATCATGTGATATGTAATACAACATTTTAAACTGATTCCTCTTAGCATAACATGATTATGGCTATGCCCATTCTTGCTTCCCATCCTAATGTTGTGCTCAGGATAACATATTCCATGACCTCCATATAACTGGTTTTATAAAGTTTTTGCAAAGTGCCAACAGATGAAAAGAAGAGGAAGCAAGGCCCAAAGAAGGGAAGTTAACTGTGGAATAAGTGAAGAAGCCATACCCCATGAGCACTTGAAGTCTCTTTTAACAGACACCACCTTCATAGTTTCAAGTTCTTATTTAAGAACATAAGAACATAAGAGACGCCAATGTTGGATCAGGCCAAAGGCCCATCCAGTCCAACACTCTTGTGTCACACAGTGGCCAGAAATACCAGGTGCCATCAGGATGTCCACCAGTGGGGCCAGGACATTAAAAGCCCTCCCACTGTTGACTCCCCCCCAAGCACCAAGAAGACAGAGCATCACTTGCCCAAGAGCCCCTATCTATACCTTGTGGCTACTAGCCACTGATGAACCTCTGCTCCATATGCTTATCTAATTCCCTTTTGAAGCAGTCCATGCTTGTAGCTGCAACCACTTCCTGTGGCAGTGAATTCCATGTGTTAATCTCTCTTTGGGTGAAGAAGTACTTCCTTTTATCCGTTCTAACCCGACCACTCAGCAATTTTATTGAGTGCCCACAAGTTCTTATTATTGTGAGAAAGGGAGAAAAGTATCTCTTTCTCTACCTGCTCTATCCCATGCATATAAACCTAGATCATGTCACCCCTCAGTTGTTGTTTCTCCAAGCTAAAGAGCCCTAAGCGCTTTAACCTTTCCTCATAGGGAAAGTGTTCCAACCCTTTTATAATTCGAGTTGCCCTTTTCTGCACTTTTTCCAAAGCTATAATATCCTTTTTAAGGTGTGGTGATATTATGTGATATAATAGTATATTATATGGTACAGTGGCTACGAGACCAAGTTATGAATTAGGAAGTCCTAGGACTGAATCTCACTTCCACAATGATTTCACAAGGTGGTGTAATGGAAGTCAATCTCTCTTAGCCTGTCTGGAATGTGGGGATAATACCTACAGGGTTTTTGCAAGGATTACAACATAGAAATAAGCATAAATTGCTTTGAACATTTGAAAGTGCTATGCAATGTGAAGTGCTCTTCATAAGAAGAACCAGGCACCTAAAACCTGAACATTTTTAACCTCTGCATCATTTTTGGTGCCCTTGCAACATTTTGTTGCTTATTGGCCACATTGATTCTAAGGAGATGAAGAGGGAGATATATATGTGGATCCCTTGCTACACAGCACAGTGTGCGCTGAACAGAAACCTTCTTGAGCCCAGACAATTTATACACAGAGAAAGAGAACATAGCTGGGATATACTAAGATTAGACTCATGTCTAGGTATTCCATTTGGTCAAACAGCTGTAGAAAGAAAATGGCAGAGCCTTTCCCTCCAGAAACCACGGAACTCTCCAGGCTCTGAAACAGAGTTGCCAACAGGCCTAGAAAAAATATCCTGTCTCTTTAATAGAGACTTTATGTGTGGAAATGGGCAGCTGCAGCTTTTCACAGCATGGAGATAAATAACATTACCTGGTAAATAACATCCCATTAAACCTATATGAAAGGGGCAGGACATTTCTCTTTTAGTCTGTTGACAATCTTATCCCCCCCCCCCCCATATCCTTTTGCAGGAAATACAAGGAAGTTGCTCATACAAAATACACACACGCACACACACAAAGAGAAAATATACTATATACTTCCAAGCCCAATATATCCTACTTACACATTCTAGGAGATACAGGGCTTCCTCTGGCAGCAAGCATTGCTTTCCATGCTCTGTGTATCCCATAGTATGCCAGAATTTTCCCTGGACACAAAATAGAAAATGTTAGTAAGATGAAGAGCTGTGTGCAATACCTCCATTCTGACCCTTCAGAAATGATACCACATGTCTATAAACCTTGAAGGCCTTGGTTCTGACCAGGTGGAACTCTCTGCCAACTTTCATCGGGGCCCTGCGGGACTTAAGGCAATTCCACAGGGCCTGTAAGGCAGAGATGTCCCATCAGGGTTTTGGTTGAGGACAGCAACGGTTTTCCGCCACAGCTGGCACCTCTTCTTTTCTTCCATTCTGCCTGCTTTGGCATTCTCCATAACCTGCTCATAAGGCAGGAGAACAGTCCAGAGTAGGTTTTAGATTAATTTGTGGACACCATCTGGAGATTATTAAATTAGGAATAATTGATCTGCCGATTTTAATCTGTATTTTTGTATGTTTTTAACCTGTTGTAAATCGCCCAGAGCCCTGTGTACTCAGGGATTGGGCAATTCAGAAATTCAATCAATCATCATCATCACCATCATCTTCCGACTGCCACCCACTTCATGGTACGATCATAGCTTCTTCACTAGGGTTAGGGCTGCATTTCAGAAAATGTGTCCCAGAAAAAGAGGCCTGCTCCTCCAGAAGCAGAAGCTCTAAGTAGTGCCATGTAGTGTAATGGCTACAGAGATAAATTTGTACAATGAACAATGCTACAGAAAAAAATAAACATTACTATTAAATACTTATTTACCCAAAAGAATTTACAAGACATTAAAAAACAAAACAAACAAAAAAGCAGTGACAATATCAAAAAAGGGGAGGCACACGTACAGCAGGGGATTTCAGCTCTGTAATACCCTCCTGAGGCTTCCACTCAGCTTTCACCAGACTCCCCCTGAAAAAGAAATTTAGAAGGAGTTCATATTCTTTAAGGATCACACACTCAACCTGTCCTGCTCCCTTAACTGAAAGGGGGCTAAGAAACCATTTTATTCTTAACTGGTAGCACAAACACCACTAAAAATAGATACCAAATAAAGAATTCTAACATGTAAAACCCTGAGGTAAATTCCTATCACTTCTTCATCCAGCCCAGGCTGCCACACACAGAATGCAAGGCACAGGGAAACTGTGTAATGAAAGGCATAAAGAGAGAGTTTATAGAGCTACAAGGAAATGGTTCATTTATGGTGGAGTCCAGGCCGAGCACCGAAGAATAGATTCTTTTGAACTACGGTGCTGGAGAAGACTCTTGAGAGTCCCTTGGACTGCAAGAAGATCAAATCAGTCAATCCTAAAAGAAATCAACCCTGACTGTTCCCTGGAAGGCCAGATAATGAAACTGAAGCTCAAATACTTTGGCCATCAAATGAGAAGGGAGCACTCACTGGAGAAGACCCTGATGTTGGGAAAGATTGAAGGTCAAAGAAGACGGGGACGGCAAAGGATGAGATGGTTAGACGGTGTCATAGATGCAACGAACATGAAATTGAGCAAACTTCAGAGGACGGCGGAAGACTGGAAGGCCTGGTGTGATCTGGTCCATGGGGTCGCGAAGAGTTGGACTCGACTGTGCGACTGAACAACAACAACAACCAGGCACACTTAAATAAGATTCTTTTCTCATCTGCACCATGGATCTGAATTCTACACACAGCAAATTATTTCATTTTGAATGTGCCTCGGTCTCCCACTGTCAAGATAGTAAATAATCAGAAGCGCAGAATCACAGAACTGGACCAAAACGTTTTGACAGAGAACATATGAAGCTCAAGATGACTGCAAAGTTAGAAGATTAGAGCTCTTGCAAACAAACCACTCTGAGCTACAATCAGAATCACGGCCAAAAACCAATAACAAGGGAAGTGGACGTTTTTGAGGCTGGGAATAATTAGAGTGATTGTGTGTGTGTGTGTGTATTTCTAATACACCTTAAGGTTTCAACAAGCACCTTGAGGAGATTGACAGAGAAATGTTGACAAATCAAAAGTGAAAGTATCAACTAATCTAGTCCAGTTATCCACTTTAACAAGCAGTGGCTCTTCAGGGTCTCAGGCAGGGGTCTTTTGTGTACCTGCTATCTAAGATCCAATAGTAGTGGAGATGTTAAAGAATGAACCAAGAAAATTCTGCATATAAAGCAAGTGTTTTACTAGCACTGAGATACACTCACTTTACAAATAATAATACATACAATCTCTCCACACGCTCTTCCCGCAAGAGTTGCCAGTGTTCATCCCGGCACTGGCGCAGCTTCTCCTCTTGTTCTTCTGAGCCATCAGGGATAAAATCTTTCTGGCCATGTGATCGTTGAGGAATCTTGTGATCACGTATGCGAACTGCCAGTAGCTCTGCTGGGCTGGGGGAGGGGAGTACAATAATTTAAAACCCACCTTAATCCATCTCTACTCCCCTGAAAGTCTACTGAGTACATTTTACCCTCCCCTCTCTAGAGAGCTCAGAGAAGCACACACACTTTTTCTTCTTCATTTTATCCTCACAACAACCCTGTGAGGTAGATCAGGCTGCAAGAGAATGATTGGGCCAAGGTCAGCCAACAGGCTGCATGGCAGTATGGAGGTTCAAACCCGGGTCCCCTCATTTCCTTTTCTGACATATTAACCCCTATACTGGTTCCCAGGATCAAAAATGTCAAGGAGGGGAATTAAATGTGTACTACTTCTTTGCAAGAAAAGCACACTGCACCAACGTTTCTAGTATTAGGGAAAGGCTTTACAATCTGTACATAATCCCCATTACCTGGTTTCCTAGGCTGACCCAAACAGTTCCAGAGCAACATAATGATATATGCTTGACAGTTTTGTCTAGGTAGATTTGCTTGTGCAGTAGCACACTTAGGCTGTCAGTCAGGGGTAGAATCTCGTGCTTCAACCCGGCTACCCACCTAACTTTAGCTATCAGGGGTAGTTAGAAATACCGCACAGTGTCGGAATGCCCAAGGAGTACGTGAACGGCAGCGTACAGCGGTAATGCTGGATGTAACGTACAATATCCTGAGCCACAGCACGTGCACCGCAATATATAATGGAAACCGACCCCACACAGCCCACACCTAACCAAGTTCTCAGCGGAAGGGCTTGCTTTTAAGACCCTCTACCAGCCTTGTACAGGGCCCGCGCGCCTGGAAGGGGCGGGGCAGGATGAAACCCTCCAAAAGAGATCGTGTGGTCCCTTTAAGCGATCCCACTTTACCATCGCTAAAGTTACCTGAGCAGGACTCCGCTAACGCCAGTTTGGCACTCAGACTCCATGGGGAGCGCGCGCCGCTTCCGCGCACGTAAAATGCAGCAACTTCCTCATTTCCTTCTGGGTCCTAGTGCTGGCCACATACGGTACAAAGCAGGTTTCATCGGGGTCCTAACGCCTTCCAATTGTTCCTTCGCTAGTGTAGGTTTTGCTGTCCCCCCACCCCCATAACAGCTTCATGAGATCCGGGAATTCAAACTGCAGTTGAAATTTTTCTCATCGTTTCCAGTTCGGTAATCGTATGCGTATGTTGCAAAAACGAGTTTGCTACAAGGCCTTTGTGACACACCTTCTTTACGCTCTTCATGATAAAACTAACTGCACCTATTGAACGCTTACTGCCAGTGTCATCATACCCATTGCTTCTTGACCGGATGAGCAAACATCATGATCTGCCTATTCTGCTTCAGTCAGGCTCTGTAGCAAGCACGTAGGACATTCTGGTAGTTTCAGCAACAGGTCTCTTTCTTGCTTCCAATAGGCAGAGAACACTAATATACCGTACTCACAGTAACAGACTTTAACCAACATAGGAGAACAAGACCTGAGGCCCCTTCATACAGGCCTTGAGGGGCTCCCTTAAAGGTATACATTCATCACACTCTTCATGATGGAAATAGCTTCACCTGTTGAATGCTTAGTGTCACTGTCATAAGACTATTGCTTGCACACAATGCTGTTGGGGGAGGAGCAGATCTGTTATCTAGGGTTCTGTTGTTGTTCAAAATTATTAAATTCATATTATTATTAACAAAATGAGGCACTGGTAGTACCAGTAATTTCTGGTTTCCCAGGGAAAGATCAAAAAAGTCTCCTCAAGAAAATGCTCGCTGATAGAAACAGATGTCACCCTCAAAATTGCTAAGTATGGTTGGCTGGCAATTAAGCTGAGGAAAATATGGATAAGTCATGCTAGTTGATATTTTAGAGATGGTTTTATAAGTAATTTCAGTTTTATCACTTAATATTTTAGGTTATTAGTGGTTTATTTATGTATTTTATGAATATTATATTCCTGTATAGGGAACAGAAATGTTTTAAGTTTCGGGTTTTACTTCTTTTACTGTGTACTGGTCAATGACTGTAAGAAATTTACTTACTATTAACAAAATGTGTATCCCACATTTCTGCTCTTAAAATCATTAAAATCAATCCCCCCCAACACTCATCATTAAAACATTTTAAAAAGAGAGAGAGTTAAAATGCATACAGAACATAAAAACAGCAATTAAATATTGGTTAGGAAGGAGCTGCGGTGACTCAAGTGGTTAAGGCGCTAAACTGCAGGCTGTGGAAGTTCAGCAGTTCGAGACCCAGGGTGCCTCATGACGGAGTGAGCTCCCGTCTCTGAGATTAGGTGGATGACAATCTGTGAGGGGGCTTTATTGGTCATGGCACCAAAGTTTTTTGTTTCGTTTGGCATTCCCTCAATGATCCTTCCTTCCTAAAAAGTAAAGGTTCCCTTGCTCGAAAGCCAGTCGAGTCCGACTCTAGGGTTGCGGTGCTCATCTCTGTTTCAAAGCCGAAGAGCCAGTGCTGTCCGAAGATATTTCCGTGGTTATGTGGCCGGCATGACTAAACACCAAGGCACACCAAGGATGAAGTGCATCCTCAAGGTTGTGGAAGTTGCAGTGCCGAGCGATCCGTCGGAGAGCTGTAACAAAGGTTGTGATTGATTCATTTGTGGCCTGGTTCCTTGTGTGGAACACGTGGCGGGTGGTGATGACGGATGGTTTTGGAGAGAAGTGCTCCTTTAGTTAATCCAAAATCATTTGGTACTCGGTGTCCTTTAGCTCTGTGGGAGCGATCAGCAAACGGGAGATCTCAAAGGTCGAGCGGCCACAGACTCGGAAGAAGGTGGCATGCTTATTTGCCGCTGCCTCAATCCCAGAGGACTCGAAAAAGAACTCAAACCGGGAGAGGTAAGACTCCCAGTCTTTCCACAGTGGCATTGAATGCATCGAAGTGTCCTGGAGCGGCAGCCATGGTCCTGGGAGTGATGCGATGCGTGTGGCATTGGAGCTCAGTGCACGGTGCGGTGCCAGTGGGCGCTGGGCTGGCTCAACAGGGTCCCATCCTTTTTGCCAATGTTAAATACTGGGTTCTAGATGCATTGCAGTGATCAGCTCTGGGTTATTAAGTGATTTCAGCAAACTACAAGAAAAGCTAGCAGGGCTGGAGCCCTGCTTATAAGCATGCAAACCACCACATCCAACACAGACACACTCCCAGTGATAGGCTATTTACATTACACTGCTTATCTATTGGTTAGTTCCTGGATCCAGGCGAGCTATTGTTCTAGAGAAGCAAGCTCAGCCCGTTCAAGGTACAGCTAGAGAAAAGGCTTAGGCTCAATACATCACATTTACAAAACTAGTAAATGTATAACTGTCCAAGCAGGAAACAAGATAGGCAATACCTTGTACAGCTTTCATATTCTGACATAAAGAACTTCAATTAAATTCTGTGGGGCCATGACATTTTGTTAACCATAGTCAGATGGGTACTTCAGACTTTTCCTCCCTGCACTGTGACACTCTAACACCACACATCATCGTCACTGAAGACAGAGGTCCTGTATCTGGGTTGTGGGGATTTGGAGGTAGGCACCAAGCTTCCCACACTGGAAGGGGCACCTTGGTACCGGCCCAGTCAGTGAAGAGCCTGGGAGTAACGCTGGATATCTCCTTATCTGTGGAGGCCCAGGTTGCTGCAGTTGCCAGATATGCATTCTTCCATCTTAGGCAGATCAAGCTACTGAAGCCCTATCTCTCCCCCCAGGACTTAGCTACAGTGACCCATGCAATGGTCACTTCCAGGCTTGATTATTGCAACTAGCTCTATGCAGGCTTACCCCTGAAACCGATCCGGAAATTACAGCTGATACAAAATGTGGCGGTGTGCCCGCTAACGTCAACACCTGTGCAGACTCATGTTCGGCATGTGATTTGTCAGCTGCATTGGTTGCCGGTTGAGTACCAGATCCACTTCAAGGTGCCAGTAATCACCTTCAAAGTCTTATACAGGCTGGGACCAACATACCTAAGGGACCTGTACTGGCTCAGCTGGTTACTACAGTTACCACACACTGGAAACTGGAGACGCAGTCTGGAATCAAATCAAATAATAGAGCCAAGGGTCAGAGAGCCGGGAAATCAGTCCAAGGTTGCAGGAGCAAGGAGCGGTTGCTACAAGCCAGGAGTGGATCTGATCTTGTACTGTTGCTACCACGCTGAGGCAGGTGTGTTGGGGGTGTTTATGAACAAGTCCTCCCTTCCCTGGGAGTCAATCTGCCAAGACTCACAGCTCCTTCTGTTGCTTTTGCAAGAGCTGCGGCCTGGCACTCTTCCTTCACTCCTGCATATTCAGCCTCTGGCGTCCCCTGCGTCTGGAGCATTCAGGAGAACTAGGTGGGGATTCTGGCCTTGGGGTGTCTTCAACTGGGGGTGTTGGGCCAGGCTCTGGGTCAGTCTCTCCTTCTGGCTGCACCTCCTGTGTAGCTGCTGGGGCCTCTTCTCCCTCAGGTGCTGTTGAGGGTTCCTCCTCTGGGCTGACTCCAGAGGAGGCTGGGTTGCTCCCTGCCTCTTCCTCATCCGAGGAATAGTCAACCTCAGCAGAGCCAGTACCCACAACAGGACCACCTCTTCCCATATACACCTTGAAGAACATTACCCTCTGAGAGTCAACATCTCCTGGCGGTCCTTGGCCCAAAGGACGCCCGCCTAGCCTTGATCAGGGCCAGGGCTTTTTCTGCCCTGGCTCCCACCTGGTGGAACATGCTCCCTACTGAGATCAGGGCCCTGCACGATCTTATTCAATTCTGCAGGGCCTGCAAGATGGGGCTGTTCCACCAGGCAGTGGGCATCCACACATGCCCCCCCCCAAGGTTGCTGTCTCCCACCCACTGATAACTGGCCATACCTACCTACATCAATGGGCCGGATTCTCCCTACGGCACACTATGATTATTGATTTTATATGTTTATAATGTGTTTTAAAATTTTATTGTATTTATGGAAATGTTGAAACCTGCCCTGAGCCCGTTTACAGGATGGGTGGGATACAAATGCAATAAATAAATAAGGTGGTTGTGAGTGCCATTAAATCACAGCTGACTCGTGGTGACCCCATAGGGTTTTCAAGGCAAGAGTCCTTCAAAGGTGGTTTGGCATTGCCTGCCTCTGTGTCACAACCTTGGTATTCCTTGGTGGTCTCCCATCCAAATACTGACCAGGGTCAACACTACTTAGCTTCCAAGATCTGATGAGATTGGGCTAGCCTGGGCTATCCAGGTCAGGCAGCATAAGGTATACATGTGCTAACATGTTCCCTAACACATTTTTAATTTTTAAAGTGGCAATTCATAAATCACTGATAATCAGCAGGCATTAAAAAAAGGAATTTCAACCGATGTTCACACCTTCCACTCCTCAAATTTGGTCACAGATTTTTAAGCATAACAACTGGGGAAGGAACTTCTGAGCTTTGGTGCTTTAAAGATGGCCATGTCTTCTTGCAGCTCCAAGAGATGCGTACCATGAATTAGAGGATACGAGGGGGCGCAATCTTTTGCACTCCCCATGGAGCCCTTGCGAAATGGGCTCCTAGCCAGGGGGCTTCTGGAGAGCCCTTCCTTTGGCCGACAGACGATATAGGGGGGCTACTCTCTACCCCGAAGGTCCTGCCCTGATTCCCAGCATTGGACTCAAAGTGCACGCTGGAACAAGCGTATGGAGGTTTGGCAATTTAACTTTGCCCAGCGAGATCCTAGGGAGACCTGCTGAATCGTCCTGAACACTGACGAGTGAGTTAAAGTTGAAGCGAGATATCGAAGCCCTGATGCGAAGCCCCCCCAATACAAGTGGGAGGGGGGAGGGGACGCCCTACCCCCTAAACAACCTAATGAAGCGGAAACACAACGGGGGGGACTGAGCATGCAGTGGCATGGATTATAACAGAAAGACTAAAGCAGAGAACTTTTCCAAAAAATAAGCGTTTACAG